GCCGGTGTTGCAGAAGGAGTGGAGAAGAGTGTGGGGGTCGGCGGAGGAGGGGGAGTCGGCGATGGAATCGAGGACAGCGGCGGCTTCGGAGAGGGAAGGGGAGTGAAAGAATGGGGTCGGAGAGGGAACTGGGAAGGCTGATTCGATCTTCTTCTTGGTCAGTTTGCTCTTCTTGGCGGAGCTTTTGTAGAGGGGAGGTCGTCGGGGTTTTGGGGTAACCGGGGCCGGCGAGGACTGCGGGGGATTAGGAGAAGAAGAGGGTCGGGGTTTGAGCATGAAGAGAGGGAGAGGAGCCGATCGCATTGAAGGAGGAAGCTTGCCCATCTGTGCGAATGGAGAGAAGCTAGTCCCGCGTTTTCCGATCAACGACGGTGGGCGGTGGGGAGGTTTAGGTTTTAGACGTTGAGGCTTCGATGATGTGCTGACCTGCTCTTAGCTTCGTGAGAAAAGAATTTAGGGGATGTCAAATATGCCAAAAAAAAGAAAAAAAACAGATCTTGTAAATATTGAGGCTGCATGAATTTTTAATTTTTGTGGATTGAAATGCAAAATTTTTAGTTTAGGTGTCTAATTCATTATATTTCTAATTCATTATATTTAAATGTCTAATTCATTATATTTAAAATTTTGGATGGCTATTAAGTAAAAACGCTAATTTTAAAAGGGTAGATTTACACGCATATTTACTCAATTCCTATCTATTTACATTTTAACATCAAAACTTCAATTGATTGTTTGATTTATAAAAAGCACTATTTTTGGTGCTTTTCATGTAATTATCTGAAAAATAAAATTAGTAGTTATGTAAATACAAAGGAATTGTGAAGTCTCTATGTAAATATCCCATTTTCATCCATTTTTTGAAATTCCATGGTTCAAAAAATTATATAAGGCTTTATTTAGGGCCCGTTTGGGGCAGCTTATTTGTTATAGCGGCGTTTTGAAAACGCACCTGATCTGTTTTAATAAACTGTGTTTTGACAGCTTGTGCGTTTTGAAAATGCTGAAAATAACATTCTCACATCCCATCTATCTAGGTTCAGGTCTGGCTTTTCATAAAAATAAAAATAAAATTTAAAATAGTCACCGCACCCAGCTTATCAGCAGATTATTCAATAAGTTGTAGCTGCCCCAAACAAACCCTTATAAATAACAATGATTTAGAGAAAATATATATATTTGAGTATTAATGTAAATGTTAAAGTTTAGGGATTAGAAAAATAAATACACAGTATTCTAAGCTAATTTTTCCTTATTTAAATAACAATTTATAAATAATATTCCTGCGATAATTTAATTACAATTAGATGTCAAACAAATACAATAATTTGACAGATAATAAGAATATATTAAATAATCATAATTTAAGTATGTAATATGATACTTAGGGCTTTCAAAACTACTCTTTGTTCTCGAACAACTCATGAAGAAATTTGTATTCACTTCGTTAGCTAAGTTAACGAACCGAACATGAACACATTTTTTTGCTCGATATATTAACAAGCAGAACATGAACAAAGATTTGTTCGTTTATATTTAGCTCATATTGGCAGCACACATCAATATATATATATATATATATATATAATTTATTTAGTTATTTATGATTAGTATTTCTAAAAAATTTAATTGACTACACAAGGCTGGCTACAAAGATTTATAATCCATTAAAATTATTAAATAAAGATTGAATAAAAATATATTAAATTGTATTTAAGTGACATTTTAACATAAATAATAAGATTTCAATCTTGCCCCAACGTCTACCATCTTACGGTTGCATTATTATGGTTGCCAAAATGACTCTTTGTTCGCGAACAGCTCTCGTGTTCGACTCACTAAACATATGAGCCGAACACAGACACACTTTTTGTGTTCAAAATATAAATGAGTTGAACACAAACAGTGGTATTTTTTAACGAGCCAAACACGAGCTGTCTGGGCTATCTCGTGTTCGACTCGTTTACACCCTTAATTATACAAAGCACAGCATTTGATAACTAAACACAGCATTTGATAAATAATAAAACAATCTAAAAAAAATTAAAAAAAAAACACTATCTAAATGACATTAATATCTACATAATATTACTATCCAAATATCAATAGAAAAGCACTATGAAGCATTTCACTGAAACCACATTACCTGACAATTAAGAAGACTATGCATACAGCCCACAGCTGCTGCAACAATACATAGAACATAGAGCTCACTACATCAAAACAACAGATTGATTAACATGAGAGCAAGGATTACTAAAAAGGGGTATTATATAAAACTATGATAGAATATTATATTTTTTAGTTCTTGTATTTGATTAACAAACATAATTAATCAGTTAGTTAATAATGATTAGCAGCCTAGTATTCTATAATAATAGCCCATCAATTTATACAATATTGTTTCTCGGACCTTGATAATCGACAATTTGAGGACGCCGACAACTCTAGAAATTGGCTGGAAGAGGAATAGAGACAAGAAACTAAGATTGAGAACCTCAATGTGCTTCTATAATAATAGCAGCCTTGCATTCTATAATAATAGCCCATCAATTTATACAATATTGTTTCTCGGACCTTGATAATCGACAATTTGAGGACGCCGACAACTCTAGAAATTGGCTGGAAGAGAAATAGAGACAAGAAACTAAGATTGAGAACCTCAATGTGCTTCAAATCGAGCTATTTATAGAATACAAGACTACTAATCAATATTAACTAACTAATTAATTATATTTATCAATATAATGCAAGAAAATAAAAATATAATATTCTATCAAATTACCTCTTCTCCTGTATTTAAATTGGGAATCCACCCGAGTCGGCCGCCTCTGTTGAACATGGCGTGTTCGTCGGAGCCGATGAATTTCTTGGTTGAATCGTCAACGAAGATCAGGTCGTCGATCCTCGCCATTATATTGAATGCCAAGCTCTCCATGACTCGGGAGTAGCTTTCGAGAATGGACTGGCCCACATCCTGCGTTAAAGGAATGTATCATATAGATGGGGTAGAGGCAACTCTAGGTTTTACAGTTTACCTTGGAGAATTTTACATACAAACCACAATTCCTATGTATTTACATATCTAATATCTTGGTGTCATAAGCTTATGCATGAATAGATCTATTTCACTTTTTGAAAAGGTACTTGGTCGCATTGTCATGTGATATTAAAATTTTGAATGGTGTGCATGTAAATATGAATGTTTTAAGTCTTAGATATGTAAATTCATAAAATTGTGTGGTATGAAGTAAATGCCCCTTTACCATAAAGTATGGTAATGATTATCTAGCTTGCAACATAACAATGCAACTATAAAGAATAAGGAGCAAGCAATACATTCAAATGAAAATTAGAAAGATTTAAATATATACCACTCAATTCTCAAATCTAACACCTAAACTTCATCTTTTTTACCTATAATCCTTCTTCCCTATGCATGAAAGTGTGTTTCACTTCTAAAAATTATTTGATTGTCATAAGTTGAAAAAGCACAGTTTAGATGTTAGATATATAAATACATAGGAATTGGGTGGTATATACATAAATCATCCAAAAAGTAATGGAAAAGAGAAAGAGCAAGAGAGGAAAACTGAAAAAATGGTATTCAGATATATGTCATCTTAACTTTGCATGAAAATGCATATTTCACATTTTAAATGTCAAACAGTGGTATTTTTTATATGATATGACGGATATAGTTGGCACAAAATTTTTAAAAAGCAAAGTTTAGGTGTTAGATATGTAAATACATAGGAATAGGGTGGAATATGCATAAATGCCCCTCAAATTTAAGAGAGAGAGAGATTGGGTTAGCTGAAATAACCTTATTGTATTGGATCTTGTTCATATCCAAGAGAGTTTGAGGAAGGCCCGGGTACCGGAGTTTTAAGCTCTTGAGAAGGCCTTCTGCTCTCTGTGCCAGGAGCTGGCTTCTCTCTGTAGCAGTAACGAATCCTTTCACCTTCCCTCCCCATGATTTTTTCCCCTTGGAATGCTGAGAATTTCTTTTCTGATTTTTGAGACTCCAAACATGCGTGGCGGCCTCAATTCTGTTAGCTATGTCAAGAGTATGGTGCTCGGACGACAGATCTAAGCAGTCCAGAAGACATTCTGCTGAAAATTTTTCAGCTGTTATGTAACGGTAGATAATTTCACCCAAACAAGACTTTCCACTCTGCAAAGATAAGTAAGAAAAATAACATTAAAGTCTAAAAAAAGTAGAAAATAAAAGGCTATATAACTTGCTAAGCATAAATAAAATATCACATGATTCCGATGTAGTAACATAACTAATATTAAAATATTGAAAAAACATCAAAACAATCCTTTGACTCTTTGTAGGAGGTCATTTTCACTCCTGGGTTTATAAAAGTGTCAATTTAATTCTCAGATTTTTTAAATATGAATTAAATTAGTCCCTAATAAAGACTATTTTAGCCTCCAATAAAATAATTTGGGGACTAAATTAACACTTTTATAAAATCTGGGACTAAAATGGTCTCATGTATTAGTTGATTTCTCAACATAAAGCTTGGACTGAACATACTGAGAATATTAACAACGATTTACAAATATATTAACTGATTACATTAAATCTGCAGCAGTAATTAAATGCGGATTCTAAATTAAATTAATGGGGCATTTACATACATAGCTCAAAATTCTGATATGAATGTAAATATGAAAGCTTAGGTGTGATAAGGTGTGTGAGATACATAAGGTGCTAAGTATCAAAATTTCTCCAACGGGCTGTTTGGTTGACAGAGTGCTAGTCTTATAATGTATTTTAGTTACTTTAGGGGCTGTTTGGTTTGCTGAAAATAAAATAAAACGTAAAAAATTTGCATAGTATTCTTACTACAATATATTTGAAATATTTTATGGCTATTTGGTTTCTTGTAAGATAAACACATGACTTTATTTATTTATTTTTTTATTTTTTTTTTATTTGAAGTAGATTGAAAATAACATAACAATTTATTTAGAAGGCGAGTGCTAGGCAGCAGAAGGCTGGCTGCACCAGCAAGGGGCAGCGAGCAGCGGGCGGTGGTTGCAAGCAGCGGCGGCAAGCTGTGGTTGCAGGCAGTCGGAGGCGAGGCAAGGGGATGGGGGGGGGGGGGGGACTCAGCAAGTGGACAGCAGCGGAGCTGCTCATGTACAAAATAATTTCTAGCAAATATTGTGTATGCTTAGGAGAATATTGTTGGAGTGTGGAGACTGGCACCCAAAGGGCAGAATTCCAACGCATCAAAGGAGCACTCCTATACGTGGGCTTGGCATAGCCGAAATGAGCGTAGCTACGTCGAGCAGCATAATCATGCCACAATCGACATAGCCACGCCGCACGGGCCTTTAGTAGTGTGAATCTTCTTGAGCTAATAAATATTTATGCCGCTACTGAGTGTGGTTATGCCACCAAGCAAAGGATTTGGTTTGGTTCTTAAGCCTTCGATTTGAGAGATGATATATTGCAATCTCGCAAGTGGCATTCTAGACAGGTTTCTCATGAAGAAGAAAAGAAGGTCGATGATGATAATTTCAACGAGGGCTTTCACTTATAGATTGAGAGATGGTTGGAGCAAAGTTTTGTAAGTTTTTATATTTGCAGAGAGTTGATCTGAGTGTATCTCTGTATTTTCTCTCATTCATAGTGGAATTTCTTGATGGTGAAATCTTGGTGTTTTTTTCCTGTGATTATTTTCGAATTTTTTTTCCAAATTTCTTGAATTGTTGTGATCTTATTCTGCAAAGTGGTTTTGATTTTTAATTGATCAAAACCCTATGTGTATATTTCATCCAAAAAAAAAACATAGTGATTAGAATGCATCCTCAAAACTAATAAATAAAAGCAACATGAATTCATAAAAATATGGCTTAAAAATTAAGGGTACCAAAATTGACATGACACACCAACACGACTCAAACTCGACTCAAAAAATCCAAGTACCCAAATATTTTTCAATTCAGGTTTGGGTCAGAGAATTTGAACCATTTATTATCCGAGTCGAGTTCGGGTTAACCGGATTCAAGTCAGATCATTTTAAGGTTGGATCCAAATACGAGCCTCTGGTCCGAATTGCATCCCTATGTGTCAAAAATTAACCCGACACACCAACACGACTCGAAAAATTTGGGTCAGGGTTGACCCAAATATTTTTTGAGCCAGGCCTGGAGAAGTCGACCCATTTATTATTCAAGTCGGGTTGGGTTGACACGATTTGGGTTGGGTCATTTTTGGGTCATACCTGAACACAACCCGCTAATCCGAATTGACGTCCCTATTGAAAATATCGTTGCAAACGAACAACCAGTATCAAATTAATCCCAAGTATAACAATGTCAAAAACATAATATGGAAAAGGATTTGTACCACAAAATGACATGTAAAAAAAAAATTAGTCTTATTTGCTTTTCTTTAAGGAAGTGGTGAACTAATTTGGCTGGGATTTGGCAAACCAAGTCGAAGAAGCCTAGTTAAATCCATATAGAGAGCACTTCAATTTACACATATGTGAAGAAAGAGACAAAATACCATGGTGGGAAACAAATAGATATCTTCCTTCTCATCACGGTATTTTTTTAAGAAAAAAACACACATCTTAAATGGCCATTTGCCTGATTGGTCATCTTATAAAGCAGCTTAGATTTAATCATTCATACCGTGCTTACTTTACTGGTAGAGGCAAAAAATTTCTTACAGTCAATCTCACATTCTTATTTATTTACCCAGTACAATGTCTTACGATGATCCAGAGTATTGTCATAGTGATGTTTGATCAAGTAGGCCCATTTGCAACAAATAGCTTTAACCTTGAAGGAATGAACAACCCATGAAAATTTGTCCTTGAAAACTTAAAGTTTTTATACCATTGCCTCCCGCAACCATGCATGTTTGATAGCCTCTAAATAACATCTATGAATGGGAAGACAAGGTATTATGAAACCAATATTATTTTTCGAGGATAAGTGAGTCTAGAATATAATTGAGAATTTGTGCCTAACTTCCAACTAGCGGACTCAGATAACAGATCAATATGGATGGGCTCAAATGGCGGGTCTAACTTAAGAAGACGTAAAATTTAATGTTTTCTTTCATATGTCGATTCTACTTTGAATCATTTAGGGCTGGAATCCAATTCATCAAGTAGGGAAGCAAGCCTTTGGCACGATCTCATTATAAGTATGATATTTACATGCATACCAAATTTGATATTTGCTTTTATAAAACCTTTGTATTAAAAATCCATGAATGAAAAGGTACTTTTCAGTTTTAAAAAGTTAGTGATAATGATATTTTTTTTATGTGATGTTGAAGATTTGAGCCTTATGTATGTAAATATGAAAGTTTAGATATTATATATGTAAATATAAATAGGAATTGTGCAGTATGTATGAAAATGCCCCTAACAAAAATTAGGAAAAATATGTAGTATTCATGCCATTTCAATGCATGTATAGTTTGGCCCATTCCAGAGCATACTACAAATGAACTACAGAAGCAGCTTATCATTGTCTAAGGCCACACAATAGAAATAAACAGCCAACAATCTAATGATATAAGTATAATTATTTAGACTTGTTTCAGGCATACTACGACATTTCACGCCAGATTATACAGTCAAAGTTGCCAGAAATATGAGTC